AAAAATGTGATCTTCTCCCCTGCTTAATAATATTTAATAGTTAACCATTGTCTAGATAAGTTTACTAATGTGTTCAATCCTCTGTGTCCATTCAATCACAATCAAAATTCCCCTTTCTGCTGGCCTACTCTCCTAGTTCTCTGCCTTGTGCCATATGACTCTCAGCTCTTCCCTCCCCGCTAGCCCAGAACCATTTCTTAACTGTACTATCTAGTGTGGCTTACATGCTTATCTTAGCTAGAGAGTTTTCTGGAGGAAAAACTACACATATTTGGAGTAGGGGAACCCCAATATCCTACTGTAGTAGTATATTTTGTTGACTCTGTATGCTGAAAATAAGAGCCCCAAAATTGTGCAGCGGTCAGGGCTTGGTGCTGGAAGGAAATGTTCAGGCTCCAAGTATTGTTAAAATGAAAAGATAGTAGGCAAGATTCTGATGTACTTTTGGAACTATTTTCTTTATTTCATATTTTTTAAGGTTTTCCTGTAAGTTTTATTTATCTCCTGGTAATATATCTGCACTCTCTCCAAGGATCAAGTCATTTTATCATTTTCTATCCTCTCCGTCTGACCCCCCCACCCCAAGGACCTCTATTTGACTTTACTCTACCCTTAATTTTCTTCATTTAGTTTGCATTTCATTCTTTTATCTGTGTTCTCCAAATATCTTCTCATTTAGGTCATACCTTGCTGGTCTATGTTGTGGATTTTATTATTTTATTTAATCTTATTTAAAGAATATAAACCATTCCAAAGCCTGCTGACTTGCCAAAAGGAGTTCTGAATCAGAAGCCAAAATAATATCCAAGTTAAGCCTTGGTGGCACAGTGGTTAAAGCACTTGGCTGCTAATCAAAAGGTTGGTGGTTCAAACTCACCAGCCACTCTGTGGGAAAAAGATATATGGCAGTTGGCTTCCGTAAAGATTTACAGCCTTGGAAACCCTAGGTAGCAGTTCTACTCTGTCCGTTAGGGTTGCTATGAGTCAAATCAACTCCATGGCAGTGGGTTTTGATGGGTTTATGGTTAGGTACACTTTATCTAGTATTGCAGTCTTGAATAGTGCTGCTTTTCCAGGGTGAAGAAAATCTTTCATCTGCTCTTTCCACCGAAACATTCATTTGCTATGGATTTCCAGCTCTGCATGTTACTGTGTCAGTTGTGATGGTGGCTGATTTTTTGAGCAGCCAGGGAAGAAGAGGCACCTTTATACTTTAAAACCAGTCCTTCAGTGAGAACTATTTCCCTATTTCCCCCTGCCCCCCAAAAGTAAAAAATCAACACTGTTTTAATACTAAATTCCGGGTATTGTATAATTTCTTAAGATCCATCACCAGCTAAAGGAAAAGTATTCTAAATTTTCAATTTTTCTAGTAAAAATAATTACAACCTCCTTAGCTGCACATCAGGTAGAATTAGATAGTTGTATGAATAGAAATTAAAACAGTCATAAGAATTATGGAACTGACCAGATTAAAGAAAGCCACGTTAATCTTCAAAGCTTCCAGAAGCCATTCTTCTTTCTAGCTCCCATAGGGTAAGGACAAGTCTAGGAAGAAGTGTAACATTGACACATACAATGTCTGTAGGTGGTTAGTGTAGTTTAGTGGTAATCACTACTGTTTTGGTTACCTAGCGCCGCTCTAAAAGAAATACCACAAATGGGATGGCTCGAACAAACAGGAATTTATTCTCTTACAGTTTTGGAGGTTAGAAGTCCAAGTTCAAAGTGCCAGGCTCTAGGGGCTAGATGGAAGCCATTCAACCTTGGGCTTCAGCTCTGCTTCTTGCTCCTGGCCCACTGAAACTAGAGGCATCTCTTTACTCAGGCAGCTTGCTAGCTGGGGCTGACAAACCCAAGGCTAACAAGTGAAAAGGCACAGTCCTGATATTACCATACCACATGGCAGGCCATTAATTCAAGTCCATTAAAAGTCCCAAGATCAGCAGAGCATGGCAGGCTACTAAATGAAGACTTGGCTACATGTAGGGTTCAAGTGTGCGAAAAGGCTAGAGACCCTCCTCAAAGTAGCTTCTTACATACTGGAAGCAGCCCACATGCCTAAAGCAGCTACTCAACTGCTCCAGTAGATTCTAACATGGAACCGATTGCCAATCTCACCTTGGCGAATAACTACCCAGCCACTCAACAAGGGCCAACCAAGTTGACAATAACCTTAACTACCACAGCTACCATTACTCAACTTACTAGAATTGAGAAGCATAATTAGTGAACAATTATTTATTGACACAGAGAACTGTGTCCTGTCCATGTGATCTAAGGTTCTGGGGAATGTAGTAGACAAACAAACCAGCTTAAAGACTGGAGGGGAAGAAATACATCCAACAAATTATCACAATAAATTAAGTAAATGAATTCATACAAAGCCTCAGGAACAAGAAGAATATGGTATCAATAATGAGACAACACACACACACACGTACACACACACACTACTCACTGAAGAAAATCATTAATGGAGAAGGGGAGGACAAAGGCTGCTGGGAGTAGGGCAAGAACAGAATTGGAAATGAATCTATCTTTCACCTCTAAGTGACAGCTCTGCTAATTCCTAACACAATATGAATAAGTTTCTACACAGATTTTACATATACCACTTTCTGTTACTGCTTACTGCAGCCCAATAAAAACAGATAAATCATGGGCTCTACTGACGTTAAGAGGCAGAGTTGATACAGTGAAATGTATTCAAATGAGTAATTGTTATGGGGTTTGATGTGAATTGATGAGTTAAAGATGAATTTATGAATTTGGATGTCTGTTTACATATGCAATAAGAGAATGGTGGTTGAAAGTGTGGTTACTGGAGTCTGGTGCTGGTGCTGGTTTCTGTTATATACTAGGTCCACTATTTACTAGCTGTGTAATCTTGGACACCTCATATGTAAAGTGATGATAAATAATCTCATGGGTTGTGAGGATTAAATAAGTTAATACTTGGAACACTGCCTGGTACATAGTAATTACACTACAAATATTACCTATTGTTTTTGCTCATACAGGGCCTTTGTTTCCTCAGTAAAGGGTAGATTTTTGTCAGAACTAGACCGGAGTAAGTATATTTATTAAATATATTTATATTTAATATAAATATTATATTTATTAAATTTATTTATATTTATTAAATATAGCCTGGGGTGCAGGAATTTAATACTGCATTGTTGTCTTTAGGGCTGAGTTTCAGGGAGGATGTTAAATGAGAATGAGAGTGTTTTTAGATTTAGAATGTAGTATTTACTAGGCTACTGTTAGCTTGTATATCAAACCAAACCCATTGCAGTGGAGCTGATTGCAACTCACAGCAACCCTATGGCACAGAGTAGAACTGCCCCAGAGGGTTTCCAAGGCTGTAATCTTTATGGGAGGAGCCCTGGTGGCTCATTGTAAAGATTTACAGCCTTGGAAACCGTATAGGACAGTTCTACTCTGTCCCACAGTGTTGCGATGAGTCAGAATTTATTCCACAGCTATGGATGTAGGTTTTGGAATCTTTATGGAGGCAGACTGCCACATCTTTCTCTCTGAGGGGTTGGTATGTTCTAACTGCCCTCCTTTCAGTTAGCAGGCAAACTTTTAACCACTGTGACACCGGGACTCTTTGTTATCATATACAGTGGTAAGAAAACCAGTAGTAGATACTTTCCGTGTATGTTAGCTTCCTTTTGACTTATTTAAAAGAAAAGAAAAAGATTAATTTGGTTTATTATATGAATATATTATGTTCTATTTAATCTATTTATGGTACGTTAAGGAAAGAGACTATGGAATATGAAAAGCTGATGGAAGTTTTTAATATGTTGCACACCTCAGAATATAAACCTCTACAGTGCTATTAATAGGCATATTATCAACAACAGTTTTTCAGACTTTGTGCTTAGCTCTGGAGAAAAACAAGAGTATGGCATCTTGAATTTCTTCATTGGGTAATTTAAAACCCATTCTATAATGTGAACACCAGCTGCACAGATCATGTTACTTGAGATCAGTATCAACTAAAGTTATAATAAACTAAACTAGTCATATGTTCCTTTTCAAAGTTGCTTGCTATTCAGAACACATACCTAAATCAACAAAACAATGTGAATATCATCACAACTCTTTTCATTAACTGTTAGGTTTTGGGGGTTGGTTTAAAACCGGCTCTAAATTCTTAATTGTCCTAGATATTATAATGGTTAATACATATCTAGTGCTTACTATATTCCAGGTGCTGTTCTAGACATTAGTAAGTTTTGATTTTGATAAAACTATATAAACAAGTTGTAACTTTTATATAATACAGTACCCTCAAAGAGGAGAAAGTGGAGGCAGTACCGAAAACTCAAGCGTAGGTCTTTGACACCCTTGGTTTGTTTTTTGGTTTTAGAACTAAAAACTTTGTATACGTTTTTATTACTATCACTCTAAAGGAGAATGGCATTTTTGAGGGAACAATGTTCTACTTGGTGTGTCACTGATGACTATTAACCAACAGAACTATTCTGATTCTGTTAAGGGAAATAAGCAACAATGGAAAAGAAATTATTTTAGAGCATAATTCAATTGCTCTGGTAGCGTAGTGCCTAAGGCACTTGACTGCTGACCAGAAGGCTGGCGGTTCAAACCCACCAGCCAGTCCTCGGAAGGAAGATGGGGCAATCTACTCCCGTAGTGATACCGCCTCGGAAACCCAAGGAGGGGTCACTATGAGTCGGGTCGACGGCACATAACAACAAGTACAGTCGGGAGAGCCAAGAACGTGGAAGCTCCCCTCCCGCCCCGGGGGCGGAGCACTTGCCGGGTGGAGATGGGATGGACCACATTTCCCTGGAGCTCTAGAGGCGGGGCCTAGGGCTCGGGGGCCAAACTCCCGGGAGCTGGAAAGCCGGCCAGAACGCACCGCAGGGATTCTCGCGGTCTCTGGGCGCGTGCGCAGGTGCGGTGGGCCCTGCGAGCGACTTAGCTAGTAGAGTGCTGACCGGTACCCGGCTTCCTGTGCGATGAGACCTGGGGAGGAGCTACCTGGGGAAGGGGGCGCCTGCGTTGGCTTCTCCCAGCTGGAGCTGCTGAAGCTAAGCGCCGCGGAGCGCATCGACGAAGCGGCCGAGCGGCTAGGGGCCCTGAGCCGCGCGATCTGGAGCGAGCCTGAGTTGGCCTACGAGGAGCATCAAGCTCATGGCGTGCTGACGCGCTTCTTCCAGCAGGAGCCACCGGCCGCCTCCTGGACAGTGCAGCCGCACTACCAGCTGGCCACGGCCTTCCGGGCCGAGTGGGAGGCGCCTGGGGTCCGTGCGGCGCCGGGTGCTGCGGGGCGCCCACTGCACCTTGGCTTCCTCTGCGAGTACGACGCGCTGCCGGGCATCGGGCACGCCTGCGGCCATAACCTGATTGCAGAGGTCGGGGCGGCAGCAGCTCTGGGCGTTAAGGGGGCCTTGGAGAGCCTCCCGGGGCCGCCTCCGCCGGTGAAGGTGAGATGGGGCCCGGGTGCGTGACTCTCATTCCGACTGCCCAGGCAGTGAACGGCCCGGGGCCTCCCTTGCCCAACGAGCCCTCCGCGGCCGCTGGGAATGACAAGACTCGGGTGCACCCCTTGCGCATCGTCCCCTCCCGTCCCGAGGTAGGTTTAGGGGACAGTACTTAGAGTTCCGGTCTCGCCTTTGGCAAAAGGCAGAACCCCTGGATGGAAAAAAAGCGAGTAGCTCACGTCTTGGCGACATTTTGCAGGTTTTTGTTTCCTCTTCTGTAGTTGTAAACAATTCAGTGTATTTTCCCTTAGGAAAGAACTTAGAACCCAGCTGGTCTTAGGTACTGGTTATTTTTGGTAACCGAGTGGCAACTACAGTTTGCTTACGAGGTTGTGCAGTCTCTGGAGGAAGTAATTTATGTAGGCAAACCTACAGCCCCTCTTTATCAAATTGCCCCAGATCCTTTGTGGCAGTCACAGGAAGTGTTGCGATTCGAATAATTTGGTATTTGGTTAGGAAAGTTTCAGTCGTTGGGACCACCAAACCTCTAGAAATATACAAATAATGGGAAAGTGGTATTTACTACGTCCTTAAGTCTTAATTTTTGTTTCATGACTTTAAGAAATACTTCCATTCTTTAAACGGGACAATGACGTTTATGTTTGTCATAGGGAAAGTTTAATCTTGTGACACTATTTTTCCAGATGGTATATTCTCCGTTCTGTGAGCTTAGACTCAATAACTACCCTTCAGGTTAAGGGGAAGGCTTGTGTTTTATTTTCATATTCTGTAGGCCATTTTTTTTCAGTGTCAGTAATTTTTCTCTTTTGTCCTAATAGTTCCATCTTTTGTGGCTTTTTCCCTCTAGCTGCCTTCTCCTTTTGCCTCTGGGGCCTGTTTTTGCACCTGGTCAAGTTTTTGTTTTTTTGAGAGGGGGCCTCCTTTGTCATTGCATGAAACACTGGAGAGATTTAGCTTTAACCAGGTTTATGGAATTTTCTGTAAGAGACTGCTTATTTAACAAGCAGTTAAAGGTTAAGGGTAAAGAAAACCAAAAGAACCAAACCCACTGCCATCGAGTCGAATTCTGACTGATGGCGGCAGGCAGTAAATCTTTACCAAGTAGATTGTCTAGTCTTCTAGTTAACAGTCAGATGCCTTAGGCACTGTGCTACCAGAGCTCGTTAGGGGTAAAAGAGTAGCGTAATTTAAGAGTTGGGTGCTTCATAACTGCTTAAATAAAAATATTTTGGGAAATGTACAAACGTCTAATTGCAAATGGTAATTCTCACTTTTACCAAGGTTATCTGTTTTATCTGGTAACAGAATTTATATTGATTCCCTTTGTAAGCCCAGACCTTTTCTAGCTTGTTTCGTTGTGCTCTTATACGTAATCTTGTACGTTTATTAGTTGTAATTTTTCTTTGCTTTTTAAAATTGTTTGAAGAAGTTAAGCTTAACTATCAAAGTAAAATGTTTATTCTGTAAAGTTCTCTTTTGTTTAATTAGGTGTTTGGTGACCAATAAATCTGCCTGGTTGAACTGGTGGAATCGAATTAGTAAGTTTGTGTAATAGTTGGCCATTTCTAATCATGGTATTAAGATTTGTTTAATGCTCTTCATAAAGGATTAAGTTAAGGATTGAGTTAAGACCTTTTAATAAGGTAGCTCAGTAAGGAATCGGAGTTCAGGCCTGAAGGTCATGACGTCTGAGTTCTAATCCCAGCTCAGCCTGAAGACTTCCTTTGTGACCTGGGGTAAGACACTTCCCCTCTGTGCCTTAGAACCAATTCCAAAAACCAAACCCGCTGCCCTGCAATTGATTCTGGCTCGTGCCTCAAAACTTTCCTTCCTAAAATGATGATACAGCTTGCTCACCTACCTCACAGGGTTGTTGTGAGGATAACTAGTAAGTAAGTAACTAAAATTCCTTACCAGGAAATTATTAGTAATTATATACATACATTAAAAGGCTTAGTCAAGAATCTTTAAGAAATAAGGCTTATGGAATTTTGAGGAAATAAGTATGTAGTACTTAACTTTTTTCATCTTTGTCATTTGTTATATAAAATTGAATAAAAATTAAGAAACATTTTCTTTAATATCCCTAATACATACTTTGTACCAAGTTGTAAATTAATGTAAGTTAATTGTGATTATTTTAGTACCGTATATTTATCCCACTGCATTACTTAAGTATCAGAAAGCAGAACCTCTCTCCATAGAGTAAGGAAATTAATGTAGATTGTGAATACATAAGCAGATGAACCTATTTGAAATTTTTCCTACTATAATTTCTTTTTTGCTGTTCTGCTCTAACATATGCATTTCTTTCTAGGTAATTGTCCTGGGAACCCCTGCAGAAGAAGATGGTGGTGGCAAAATTGATTTAATTGAAGCAGGGGCTTTTAAAAATCTTGATGTTGTTTTTATGGCCCATCCATCCCAAGAGAATGCTGCTTATCTGCCTGATGTGGCTGAACATGAGTAAGTAATCAAGCTAAAGATAAACTTCTTAGTGGCCAGCAGGCCATATCATAAATGTTAAGATGGGGCAATCTACTTCCGTAGTGATACTGCCTCGGAAACCCAAGGAGGGGTCACTATGAGTCGGGTCCGACTCGACAGCACGTAACAACAACAACAACAACAACAACAACCAGTGATTAAAACTCCACATTTGTACATTTAACAAGTAAATTGAAATCTAATGATACAATATCTAATTTGCCATTGAATGTCATTTGTCAAGGCTCTTTTAACTGAGACTTATTATGGTGTTCGTAATTGGCATGTTAAAGTAAAAAGATATCAAATAATATTTTGATGTTTATATTCTACTTTAAACTAATTGAGAATAATTTGGCTTCTGGACAGCAGCTGTCCTTTTGACATGGAGTTGCCTTTACCACTGAATAGATTTGCAAGAGATAACTCCATTAGACTCAGGAAGAAAATCTATTTGTCCACTTTATTTATTTTTGAGTTCTTTGCAAAGAGGGTAAGTTATGTTCCTAAGGGAGAACACAGACCTGGTAGCTGTAGATTTTTCAGTCTATTCTTTTCTGATTAATCTGGTGCTGGAAACTTTCACTTTTCTCTGTGTTGAAGAGCTCACTGTCTTTGGTACCTAAGGATATGCCTCACTAAGGTGGTTTGAAATTTTTATACCAGAAGTTTCAGTCGTAGTAATTAATGGTCCAGTTTGTAGTCCATTCCAAAAGAGCCACTGCTTACCTGCTTCAGGAAAAACACATGATCACTTCTGTGTGGTAGCTGGCGAGTAGCATCAGAACTGTCTCTCAGTGAACAGTGCTTTTAGATTGTAAGTCAGTTATCTTACGTGTTATAGCAACTCACAAGACCTATCTTCTGGTATCTTTGTTCTTATCACGAGGAATTGGTACTGTAATGGTAGCCAAGAGTCTTTGATTTTTAGGGGTGGCCTAAATACTAGCACCAGAGGCCCTGGATAGTACAAGCAGTTAACGTACTCATCTGCTAACCTGCTTAGATTGGTAGTTTGAGTCTACCCAGAGTTACCTTGGAAGAAAGGGCTGATGATGTACTTCCAAAAAATCACCCATTGAAAACTCAATGGAGCAGAGTTCTATTTCGATACGTATGTGGTCACCATGAGTTGGAATTAACAGCATCTGGTTTTAGCCATCTTTGTAATCCCAGGATGTAATACAGTACTGCTTGTTTGTTTTAATTGAATTGTCTATAAATTTTATCTATTCAGGTGGGCTGTTGAGCAAAGCTCTCTTTTTTTGGACTGCCCCCTCTTTGTGTCAAACACTGTTACATAATAGTGAACAAATATATGTAAATTGTGGTATATATATATTTTTTACTACAAGTGATATGCAAATCTGAATTCCAGCTGTGTGATTATTTTGAATAATAATTGGATAGTTCTAACCAGTTGGGTTTTTTTTTTTTTACTTTGCTGCTGATGAAAAAACAATTTTAAATGGCATTTTTTTTTCCCAGTATGACTGTGAAGTACTATGGAAAAGCGTCCCATGCTGCTGCTTATCCCTGGGAAGGAGTAAATGCATTAGATGCTGCTGTTCTTGCTTACAACAATCTATCTGTGTTACGACAGCAAATGAAACCAACCTGGAGAGTGCATGGTACAAATGTCATATAATTTTTGTAATTAATGCTGTTTACTGTCTTTTAATACAGTTTACTTAATATTTCATTGAAAAATGGTGTCTTTTATGTACTTTATATAAATATTCTAAAAATTTTAAACATATTTTCAGAAATTCTTGTGACAGAATACTAGAATGTGTCTCTGTGGATAGGAAGACAGTGAAAAGATGATTTATACATAAATGGAATGGTCGTCTTCGCGTATCAGAGATCTGTCCATTTTTTTGGTTATTTAGGTTTTGTCCTCCTGTAATTTGGGACATTGTGATGTTTTAGTATCTCTTCATTATCTGATTTTGCTGTAGACGAAAATAGCTTTGTAATTGCACTTGTATCAATTCTGTGTTTAGTTTCTTTAAAAAGAATGAAAAAGAGTAGGTAATATAAAATTAGACTTTGCATATCTGATAAAAAGTAACGGTAGCCAAGTGTCATATAGGATCACATAACGTTTTTCCCTCTCTTTTTTTGTATTTTAAATTGTGATCTGAGTTGCTTTTTTTCTTTCTTT